CCGACCTCAAAGCCTGGACTCCATCCGCAGAAAGTGATGCTTTGCATTTGGTGGGACATCAAATAGGAATTAATTTCGAACTCCTCAATCCACAGCGAACTGTCAATGCAGAGATCTATAGTCAGAAACTGGAACGTTTAAATCAAGCACTTCATCAGAAACGCCCTTCACTTGTTAATTGGAAAGATGTTCTTCTCCACGACAATACACGTCCACATGTGGCACGTTTGACGAAACACAAGATTATGGAGTTGGATTGGGAATTTCTCCCCCAACCACCATATTCTTCAGATATGGCACCATCAGATGACCATCTTTTTCGTTCGCTGCAACACCATCTTAATGGGAAAACGTATGGAAATGTAGAAGGTATTAAAGAGGACATCAACATGATTTTTGCTTCAAAGCCAAGCGATTTCTTTAATCAGGGCATTAACAACCTGATTGTAAAATGGAAAAGCGTCAACGATAAGAATGGAGACTATTTCATTTAATAAGTGTTTTGTTTTGATATATCAGTTGTTCGGGTTTTTTCATCTAAAAAAAAGCGACATTAATTTCTTGACGACCTAATATGTGATAAAACAAACCAGAATCTTCGCGTAATTGGGCCTATCGTCACCTTTAGAAAATATAAATTACTACTTTTTATATATTTCACTAGGAATGTTGATTAAAACGTGAATAAACTACACACACATTTTTATATTAAACTGTTATATAAAATTACGGTAACTCACTGTGTTAAAATGCTAATTCATTATTTCCTTTACGAAAAGTCTCCCGGCTGGTCAGCGGTAAGTTTACTATCTCACAACTCTGAAATATGGGGTTCGATTCCCATGATGAATAGATCGCAGATAGCCCATCGCGTAGCTTTGTGCTAGTATAAACAAACTCTTAAAAACTAACCAAAAAAGTTTATGTGTATACGTGCTTTTTTAAATGAATGGTGGTATCTTCTAAGGAGCTATTTAATTTTTTTTTTTATAATTAACGTTAACATTAATGTTTTAACGTTAAACATACATAGTTGGGTTTGAAGCTGTAAACAATGTAAACCAAGAACGTAACTTCAGTCTCATATTGTCCAGTATCCAGCAGCTTAGGTAACTTAGACAAATCTTTGCAGGCATTGTATTTTTTCATCTGCTACTGATAGAGGGCGCATCTTCGCTCCTTCACTACTGGAGTTCGAAAGTGCTATATTCTGAACCTCAATAATGGAAGACACAACAAACAAAGTGAATGTTGTTCACGTGAATTTGTTTATTGGTTACGTATTTACCTACTTTTCTCTTGCGTAGCATATTGCAACATGTTGTTAATTAAGCTGAATATTTTATACTGCATAACAACGTTTTGCCAATTGATCTTTGTAACTGTTTCTGAAACTCATTAATGGAAAACACAACAAACAAAGTGAATGTTGTTCACGTGAATTTGTTTATTGGTCACGTATTTACCTACTTTTCTCTTGCGTAGCATATTGCAACATGTTGTTAATTAACCTGAATATTTTATACTGCATAACAACGTTTTGCCCATTGATCTTTGTAACTGTTTGTGTATCGGACCATTCACCTTACATCATTTCACTAAATAAAAATAGCAGCTGAAAAATGGGCCAAAAACGTTCAAATAAGTGATTTTTACTCTCTAATTATTTTGTAGTATGTAGGCCTTTTCCTTCTTTTAATTTTTCTGCACCGAAGGTTAGTCATTTTTCAACCGTAATGTAGGCTAAGACAGACATTACCAAACGTTGCTTGACTTTATTTCGTCCAGCGATGAAATTAATAGTAAGTTGGTGAATTTGAGTGTGATGGCACCCCTTTAAACGCTTTTTATCTGAAAGTACCTATCTTTTTTATCCGACTATTAGTTGTCTCGCGCAGAGCAAACATTGGTAATATACCAATGTTTGCTTTAATATTTGATTAGGTATGATATATGATAATATATGATTATTTCTTTTACAGTGAAATTTAGTTCGATTGTTTTTCAGAACCTTAAATACAGCATTCATTGCACATAAGAAATAAGTCGTTTTGACCTCATATCTCACACGAAACAAAGTGTGTAATTTATTGGTGTTATATTTATGTGTGTGTGTGTGTAATATTGCAGTCTTACGTTTTGCTTACAAATAATTATCTTATCGCTTCTTGTTATTGATAGTAGCACTTATAGGACCGCGCTGACACTCATAATACATTGGAAAACTTATCATTAACCAATATATTTCAGGGTCAGGGGTTGTGGGGTTCTTCCTTCACCTAGTCGTTGTGGTTATAATAGGTACATTGTGAGATATGTTTATTATCAATAGCATTTGTTTAACAGGGGTGGGGGGTTGTTTGGTGATATTCAACCTAGTCTTTGTGGGTATAATGGGCACACGTTCCCGCGTTTATTAGATATATTTTGTTTAAAACCTCCGGGAAAAGCCTTCGTACCCCCTAACCCCCACACGATGTGAAAACTGCGCATGTGCCATATTGAGTGTTTGCCTTTTTTGTAGTAACACTTCATAAATCCTTAGAGTATGCGCACTTTTGGAGCCAACTATTTCGAAGCCCAATTTTATATCATTAACTAGCGAACCCGTAGGCCTATGATCCACATTTACAAGTTTCATCACCCCTCAGTCTTTCACTGTGTAAAATATTATCATTAAATTGAAAAGGAGCAAAACTGTAGCTCAATAAATTCGCTTGAACTTCTGTTTTACACTTTTCATTTTAATTATCATTGCCACTATAATGTAAGTATATATTTTTTTCAACCAAGTTACGAACGGTAATTACTAGGCTTACTCATTTACGTGCTCTAATGCTAATCAATGCCAAATTTGTGGTCCTTTTTCGAGGAATCCCCGCAAAAGTGATTTCGCGAAATACCCACATCCCCTAAGGGGTTGGGTGAAAAGTTTTGCCTTTGTGCAGACCTCTGGACCGAGGCGATTTGTTTGGTATCATTTAGAAGTTTGGTGCAATCAGTGGTTTAGAAGGAGTTACATGACACACAGACGCTGAATTTTATTATGTAGTTTATTATTAAAATGCACCAATTCGTATTTACCACTGGTATATTGTATTTTTGTTGCATTTTAACGATAACAAGAAGCCTTCCAAACCTATATGCAACACTTGTTTTAATTAACCTCACTGATCTGGATAACATGCCAAATGCATGCCCTAGTATCAACTGAAAGTTGTATAATTGCTTGGTGTGTTAGTTGATAAGATTAACTTGAGTACAGGCCTGACTTAGATTTCCGTCGTTGCTGGAATCAATTAGGGAAGTTCAAGTTCCTCATGCAATATCCGATCCTCATGAAACAGGGTCTCATCGAAAGCCTTGCCAGGAAGTGGAGCAGACGATTGATGGAAAGCTGAAAATGCAATGAAAATATAATATGGATGTACAGTGCCTTGCAAAAGTATTCACCCCTACCAATAACGTCACATTCTGATGAAATACAAATAATGTAAAAAAAAAATTAATGAACTTGTTTTTATTTAAAATTCTCATGATCAAACTTAACACTGTTTTGTATGAAGGAAGTTGAATGTTAACAAAACATGCAAAGAAAATATATAAATTGAAATTTGCTGATTATATAAGTATTCAGACCTCTAAGTCAGTACTTGCTGGAAGCACCTTTGGCAGCAATTACTGCTGTAAGTCTTTTTTGATAGGTTTCTACCAGCTTTGCACAATGGTATAGTGTAATTTTTGCCCAATTTGTCCTGGTAAAATTGCTCCAATTCTGACAAGTTTGTTGGGGATTGTTGATGAACTGCAATCTTCAAGTTTCGCCATAAATTTTCCATTGGATTCAAGCCGGGACTCTGACTGGACCACTCCAGGACATTCACTTTCTTCTTTTGAAACCACTCCAATGTGGCTTTGGCCTTGTACTTTAGGTCATTGTCCTGTTGAAATATGAATTTTCGACTCAGTTTTAAATTCCTCCCTGACTCAAGCAGGTTTTCCTCTAGGATTCGCCTGTTCTTTGCACCACCCATCTTCCCCTCAATCCTAACAAGCTTTCCAGTCCCTGCTGATGAGAAGCATCCCCATAACATGATGCTGCCACAACCATGCTTGACAGTTGGGATGGTGTTGACTGGGTGATGTGCTGTGTTGGGCTTGCGCTAGACGCAATGTTTTGAATTTAGACCAAAATGCTCAAGTTTTGTCTCGTCTAACCACAAAACCTGCTGCCACCTCTCTGCAATATCATTTATATGTTTTGTCGCAAACTCCATACGAGATTTAAGATGAATTTTTTCAGTAATGGTTTCTTTCTTGCCACTCGCCCATACAGGTTAATTCTGTGTAGGGACCAAGATATTGTCGTTGTATGAACACTGATTCCCATCTCAGACATGAAACTTAGTAAATCTTTTAAAGTCACTCTTGACTTTCCAATGACATCTCTAACCAGTTTCCCATTTTCCCGGCTGCATAGTTTGGAAGGGCAGCACGATCTGAGTAGTAAATGAGTGGTAGGAAGCATATTCCACTTCTTCATAATGGACTTCACCGTACTCAAAGGAATAATCAGCGACTTTGAAATCTTCTTGTAACCCTATCCTGATCTGTGCTTCTCTACCACTTTATCCCTGACTTGTTTGGAAAGCTCCTTGGTATTCATTGTTGGTTTGTCGTATTACTATGTGAGTTGTGGCTTGAACAGATACATTTACTCTGAAGTCAAGTTAAACCACTTTGATTACATACAGACAGAGACCATTACACTAATTTTGTGACTTTTCAAACTAATTGTTTGCACCTAAACTGATTTAGAGTTGCTGTAACAGAAGGTTTGAATTCTTGTGCTATTGAGAATATTCTAATTTTCTTTAAAAATATAACTTAGCGTTTTTTTTAGCTTTCTCAGTTTGGAAGAGATAGTGTAGATTCTAAGTATAAAGTCCCATTTGAAAGTTTTATGATTGCAAACTCAGACGGCAACCAAATGTGGAAACTTTGCAGGGTGGTAAATACTTTTGCAAGGCACTGTATATGTATTGATAGTGAACATACAATGCTATTATTGTATATATATATATATATATATATGGAGCATAACCACGCTAAACTACACAGAAAGCCTTGTTTCAATGATTTACGACCTCTGGGGCCCACCTCCCGAGGGGATGGGCACTATCGCTGAAAGGGGCTGGTGTACGTAATATCATAACCTTCAAGTAAACCAATCGTCTATACATATTTATGGGTGTGTGTGTGTGGATAGATTGTATATATTCTAAGTATAAAGTCCCATTTGTCAGACGACAACATGACAAAATGACTTATAGTATTAGTAGTTTCACCTTTCGTAACGTTGGTTGCAATGGGTATTGCAAGTGTGTCAAGGGGTATTAGTAGTTTCACCTTTCGTAACGTTGGTTCCAATGGGTATTGCAAGTGTGTCAAGGGGTATTAGTAGTTTCATCTTTCGTAACGTTGGTTCCAATGGGTATTGCAAGTGTGTCAAGGGGTATTAGTAGTTTCACCTTTCGTAACGTTGGTTCCAATGGGTATTGCAAGTGTGTCAAGGGGTATTAAAACGGTTCCTTTTTGAATCTTGGTTGTTATACTCTGCTAGTTATTTTTCAAAATGGAGAATAATTTTAGAATTTTGTTTCTAACTAGGACCTTCTTTTTTCGTTGGCATAATTTTTTTTCAGGCACATTTTGCTACTGTATAATAATATTTAAAAACAAAACCGACGTTTTTTTGGCACAGTGAAAGATAAAGTCTTTATTAAAAATTTCAAATGACTAATTTTGGTAATACACTTACTAGCCCTGATGATGGTAACTGTGTTGCTGAAACTAGTCGGCTGAAATTATGAATAAACATTTTATCGTTCACTGATCAAAAAAAAAAACTTTGTTCTTCACTCTTTATTAGTCTAAATGACGTTTAGGTTTTGGTTTCGCCACCTTGCCGTTGGAGAAAATTGTAGCTGAATTTAAGCTAACGTAAACAGAAGAAAGCGATTTCATTCATCCAGTTTTTTTTTTACTTTCTCTATCTCCTGTTAGATAAAGGAGTTAGGTTTTATACCGCACATATTTCTATTCATTTGAGGGGCATTAGGATAAAAATAGTATAACATTTGTTCACACGGGTTGTATATATATATATATATTCGCGTACCTAAAGGCCTTATTTTGAAATAGATAAAACAAGTGCAAATAATCTCTGACGTAGGCGTAGGTAGGTCTTATCAGTGTTATGTCATGATTGTACACTTTGAAATGAATTGACGTTACTGCCAATAAGTGAAACAGTTATTTATATATACCCACTGGGACTCATGATTACCAGTCTTGGGAAAAACAACTGCTGAATGTGTACTTTTAACCCTTTTATTGAAGTCCTAAAGTCGACACATTAAAATGTTTGTATAGTTGGAATTGTTTCCTGAAACTATCGTCATTATATGTACGACGTGAAGTGTTTATAAGTAGGCCTCTGCTGTCTAAACCCATTTTGTTCACGCGTTGTTGGACTCCACATAGTAAACTTGTGTTTAGATGGGAGGTAGTTTTTCGAAATGGATTAAAGTAAGCTCCATGTTCTCATATTCTTCTGATTAATATTTTAAATAGTGATATATTTACTGTGAATCGCATTTGTTAGTAATGTGCAGTGTGTCTTAGAATGGAGTGCTTTTTTTTTAAATAAAAATAAATGAAAATATGATTTTGTCTATACTGTATACATTTGACCGATACAGCACTTACAAAATATTGGGTTTAAGTCTTGTCTGTTTCAAAGTAGGCTTTGAAAAGCGTTGGAGATATGACGAATACATAAAACTAATTAAATATATGTTTTGAAAGTTGTCTTAAGTTTTATATGAACAATAAGTTTAACAGTTTTTAGTTTTTCTTGTTTCGTTAACACAGTGCTTACAATCAGGGATTCAGCAATAAACGAACCGCAGTTTTGCTCATTAAATCCCGGCCAATTCATCAAAATACTTTCCTTGATACTCAGTTTCTGTTCCCCAATTGCCTTTGCAAGGATTTTACGTTATCCTCAAATATATAAATGTATTACACTCATACAGCGCATGGTTCTTGGTACTTGAAAATTTTGTTTTATTTAAAATCCAGTTTAAGTGTCATTCTGAATGTTGTGTCTTTTTTACCAACAAGGGAAGATGGTTTAAGCATCTTGAATTTCTTTTATATATAAAATCCATTTTAAGTGTCATTCTGAGTGTTGTGTCGTTTTGCTCCTGAAGAAGAAAGGTTCACCTTTCCAGAACGTTCAGGTTCGATTCCCCTCGGTGGACATAGCAGATAGCCAGCTGTGGCTTTGCTATAAGAAAAACACTCGCTCGGGTTATGGGATTTTTATTATTTTGTAATAATAAATCATATATATATGATAAAAGTAAATAGATAATAAACAAATATAAATACTAATAATAAACAAATGAATATATATGTATATATGAAACATTTTAATCAATGCAAACAAGTAGAATATAACTTACTTACAAATGACATAAAAGGTAATTTCTTGGTCCTTGTTGTTGATGTGATGTTTATTTTCACAGCGCAAGACATTATTTCGGGGAAAGTCAGTGACGGCCAATAAAATCCATCGAGCTTTCTCGACAAAGGGACCGAAAGTAGTATCGACGGACTCGTAAGTTTCTTTTGTTCTTTTCAATGTAATGGTCCGTGCGCGGGAATACTGATAACCAGAAATGCGACTCTAAACGCCAGTTGAGTCTTTAAGTTTCAGTTTTGACTTTTCCAAAGCTTTTTTTTTAGACCTTATCATTTGTTTTATATTACTGTGCATTTACTACTATCGATACAACTTGAATTCTCATTGTTGGGCTTTTGTCAATAGAATAACATTTGGAATATCACTAACTTCTGGTTCGTTACAATCACATGTAATTTTAAAGATAACATTTTCTAGAAGTGTATACATATTCTTTCATCATTTGATTTCAGCAAAATTACACCACCAAGGAATTCAACCATCTCAACGTGCCCTCGTTCCTTTATTATGGAGGGTTCAGTGCAATTTTTAATGGTTAGTCATATTTTCCTTGCTTGATTGTTAGGCTTTTTGTTTACACTAAAGAGTAATACGATGGGATTTTCTTTTATCTTAGTTAAATTTCACGAATAAAATAATATTTCACGCTACGTCATATTCTTGTTTTTTATATATTATTAGTGAATCGACACAATTCTGGTATTATTAGCTTGTGAAAAGGAAAATCGTTGTTTCAGTGTGTTACTCATTAATAGCTACTTGTGTGTTAACTAAAAATAATATCCGAAGATTAATTATTTTTATAATATATAACTTGAAAATGAAACACTATTTTTACATTCATAAATCGGAATAACAAAATTAGTAATATTCTTATTCTGTGAGAGTTGTTAATTTTATGTCTGGATTTTTAGTTTGATATTAAAAACTAAGTGTTATTTCTTTATTAATTTGATACTTGTCTTTCCGATAGGGTGTACAACGCCAAGAGCGACACCTCTTCCTCTTTAGTGACATCCTGATTGTAGGAAAACCTAGGTAACGAATTTTAATGGAAGTTGAACAAATCATTAATATTTTGGTCACGCGAAAAAAGGCACAGTAGTAACATATTTTGGATATTGTCATGAATCTGATGATCCACCAATCCAAATATTTGTAACATGTGGCTAAAATGTGTGGAGAGGGGGATTCAATCGTTCTCTGACACAGGGGTTGAAATGGTATGTCTGTAGTTAAGTACAAAGTTATACAACGGGCTATCTGTACTCTGCCCACCACAGGTATCGAAAAACCGGTTTCTAGCGTTGTAAGTCCACAGACATACCGCTGTGCAACTGGATGTGTGTGTGTGTGAAATGGAACTAAGATAGGGATATGGAACATTTACACTGCGAAATGCCCCCCCCCCCCAGTGGCACAGCGGTATGTCTGCGGACTTAAAATGCTAGAAATCGGGTTTCGATACCCGTGGTGAGCAGAGCACAGATAGCCCTTTGCGTAACTTTGTGCTTAACTTCAAACAACCAAACACGTTTGTTTCAATTTGAATTAATGCTCATTTTACCGAGTTCCCAAGCTGATAGCACAATTTTTAATATTTAACGATAAAAAGTCAATGACTGAAAAAACAAGCACATTGTAAATAACAATAATAAAATATTCTCAAAAATTCGAGAACTTGGTAGAAATTAGGTAAAAAAAATTGATCAATGTAAAATTGTCAAATATATTCAGTTCAAAATCTTCACGTTGACCCCAAGTTGAACACAAACTTCGTACAAATGTGTTTGTAAAAAAATCTCAGAAAGTAGTTGTATAACATGACATGATTTATTATATAACTTATGTTCTCAGGTCCTCGGGTACATACAAGCAAAAAGAACGGCTTTCGATCAGCGAGCTGTGGCTCTCCTCCTGTCTTTCTGAGGTTTGTGAGTTCAGCAGCTCACCAGAGGTCTCTTTTGTTCTTGGCTGGCCAACTACAAACGTTGTAGTCACTTTCAGGTAGGATTCGTACGTTGTGTGTACGGTTTATTTAATTTTAGTCATAATTGAAAGGCAATCGTATTTTTATGAATGTACAGTATTAGTGTAATGTAACAGTAAGTTCTTGTTACGCAGGTTATGTGCACGTGATAAGGGAAGCTCGCCTCCAACATGGTGACATAATAAATTGTATGTTTGCCCGTATATATTTATATTAAATACGTTTGCTAAAAAAGTTTGACGTACTTTCTAAACCTCATTGCTCTTAAACTTACATACCGATGAAAGTGGCATACAGCAGCTTCTGCCCTCTACGGGTTTATTACGTCAACCTGATTTTTTTGTTACTGAACTGTTTGTTTCACAGTAGAAGAAGGTTTTATAATCTGTTTTCGTTTGTTGGTTTAGTATTTTAAATTAATGTTTAAAACACTGAATTATTGTATGAAGTAACTTGCAAAATATAAAATAATGTGTGGTATTTTGGACATGAACACACCTTATGCACATATGCGCTTAATGGTCAGGTCAGTGTCTCCTAGGGTTCAGGTATAGCCATTTACAAGGATTTGAACTACTGAGTAGAAGGAAAGCAGTTAACCAGCACTCGCCGTCACAAGAACCTTTTTTTTCTAGCTTTGAATCGAAGAACGGGATTAAGTTTCAATCTTATGACGCACTCACAGGTGAAAGTGCGACATCTTGGCGTGATTATCAGACTTTCCGATACGCAGCCTTGCACACTGTTAGACCATGTCCGGACCAGATTTGAAGGGGGAAATTGATCATTCCTATTTTAACAACTGATAAAAAAACTGTGAAAATTTAATATGAGATTGAAGTCTTATGTTTTATTATATTGTCTTTCGGACATGCGTGTATTTGTGGTTAGTTAATGTTTTTCTTTTTTCTCTAGTTCTCCACAGATCATGCAGCTGTGGCAGAGTAAACTGATGCAGTAAGTATATAGAAAATCTCAGCTTGTATTTTTTTATGTTTTTCTAATGTCCAACTTTTCCTCATATTTAAATTATTAATCTACCAACTATTATCTTAAATAAACTTCTGAATAATTTTTGTTTTATTCGTGAGTGAGATTAATTATATCACTCAATAGTATTGTTTGTTTGTAGTTAAGTGCAAAGCGACACCATGGGCTATCTGTGCTCTGCCCACCACGGATATCGAAACCCGGATTCTAGCGTTGTAAGTCCGCCGACATACCGCTGTGCCACTGGGGGCTCATTCAGTAGTAATAAATTGCAAAACTAACTCGCAACAAGACCAGCTGGATAATGTAGTTTCGACCTGCGATTCTTATATCATTAACAAGACCAGCTGGATAATGTAGTTTCGACCTGCGATTCTTATATCATTAACAAGACCAGCACTCGCAGGTCGAAACTACATTATCCAGCTGGTCTTGTTAATGATATAAGACTCGCAGGTCAAAACTACATTATCCAGCTGGTCTTGTTAATGATATAAGAATCGCAGGTCGAAACTACATTATCCACTACATTATCCACGTAGTCTTGTTAATGATATAAGTTTTGACCTGCGATTCTTATATCATTAACAAGACCAGCTGGATAATGTAGTTTCGACCTGCGATTCTTATATCATTAACAAGACTAGCTGGATAATGTAGTTTTGACCTGCGAGTCTTATAGCAGTAACAAGACCAGCTGGATAATGTAGTTTCGACCTGCGATTCTTATATCATTAACAAGACTACCTGGATAATGTAGTTTCAACCTGCGAGTCTTATATCATTAACAAGACCAGCTGGATAATGTAGTTTCGACCTGCGATTCTTATATCATTAACAAGACCAGCTGGATAATGTAGTTTCGACCTGCAATTCTTATATCATTAACAAGACTACCTGGATAATGTAGTTTCGACCTGCGAGTATTATATCAATAACAAGACCAGCTGGATAATTTAGTTTGGACCTGCGATTCTTATATCATTAACAAGACCAGTTGGATAATGCAGTTTTGACCTGCAAGTCTTATATCATTGGTCTGGCAGGAACGTTTCATTAAGTTTAAGAACTGGTTTTGTTTTAATTCTATACGTTTATGTACACATTCATCATGATCAACGTAAACAAAAGCAAAACAAGGTTATTACAGTGGCTTCATTTATATGCAACCATATGCACTCTAAAGACGAGATTAACACAGGATTCAGTAACGTTTCTGATATATTATGTGTTCTTGTTTATGCTCACATTATGTTTCCCTTTTTATTCGAAAGTGCAAAGAATATTGATAACATCTGCATCAGTTCGAGCCCCCTAACATTGATTCATACCTGTATTTAGTATGAGCTATTGCCCCCTACCCAGGAGCCTTTGTTGGGCATCTTCGGCATAGAGGTCAAGAGGTTGCAGTAAATAAAATTGTTATAGTCACGAGAATCCCATTATATTATTAAAATATTCATTAATCCAAATTATAAGTTTCGAACAACAATTATTCTATTACAGTGGATTAAGAATGTTTTTAGTTTGTTAAAGTTAAATTGTTTTGAATTGATTTCTAGTAAGTACCTGGTTGAGAGTATACTTATGAAAGAGAGCATCGTAATTTAAAATATTACTAAAAAATTAAAACCCGCATACATACATACACACACACATATATATATATATGAACTCCCAATATTCACAACAATCTCTCTCTACTTATTGTTACAATGCGGCCTTCAGGAATGCTTACGATTGTTAAAACATATACTAAGACGTGAAATATACAGATACTTAGATGTGAAATATACGTATACGTAGACGTGAAATATACAGATACTTAGATGTGGATTATACAGATACTTGGATGTAGATGTAAATTGTACAGATACTTAGATGCGAAATATACAGATACTTAGACGTAAAATATACAGGTACTTAGACGTGAAATATACAGATACTTAGACGTGAAGTATATAGATACTTAGACGTAAAATATACAGATACTTTGAAATATACAGATACCTATATGTGAAGTATACAGATACTTAGATGTGAAATATACATATATATAGACGTGAATATACAGATACTTAGATGTGAAATATACATATACGTAGACGTGAAATATACAGATACTTATATGTGAAGTATACAGATACTTAGATGTGAAATATACATATACGTAGACGTGAAATATACAGATACTTAGACGTGAAATATACAAATGACAAACATGTAAAGCATAGCTACAAGTCTTCATGTTGATGTGGAAATACTACATTTAGTTTAGACGTTTTCATTAATTAAATCTTATTAAAGTTGTACACGATGATATAATGGCTCCCGATGACACAATGCGTGTATTTTTGTTGTTGTTTTATAGATTTAAACTTGTTATGAGTTGCATACGGTGATACAATGCAGGTATTATAGTTTTATAGACTTAAATTTGGTATGAGTTGTAAACGGTAACACAGTATCCTTAAAGTAGTCTTATGAACGTAAATATGTTATGGGTTGTACACAGTGAAACAATGTCTGTAAATAGTTGTAACAAACCTGATATAGGTTATACACAGTGATAAATGTCTGTAAGATATTTTAGTATACCTTAGATAGGTTGTACACTTTGACATAATGCTCTCTAGTTTTGCGCTTAACAACAAACAAACAAAGTTTTAATATGAGTCTCTCATTAATTTTAAACAAGAGTGACGCAGCAGTTTAAGAGTAAATATGAGTTCATTGATTTGTTTTTATTTTTTAATCTACAATAGGCTGATTGCAGAAGCCAAGAAGAAAGAGGAGCGTTCTGTGACTAATCTCCAAGTGTGCTACTGGGACCACGAAGTGAACGAAGAATTTGTAAGTAAGATCGTCGTTTTTAACTCAATCTCAGCTTTTATCGAATTTTGAACTTGAAATCTGATTTGAATATTTAAAGCGTTTTAAAGCGTTGTTTTTTTTTTTCTCTTTTAGTTCAAAACTGTGAAAGTTCGCAACACACACTCAACAAATGACTGCATTCGCCTCATACTTGATGACATTGGACAGCAGGTGTGTAGCAGCCTATTTCTTAACTTTCTTTAACGCAAACTGGAGTTTATTATGAGACATTTCTATAAACGTAAATAAAATCACGACCTATATCTCCAGAAACTAACTGTATTAGCTCAATATTTCGCTATCACAGCTTCGTCAGGAGCTATCGATATCTTACAAATTCATTAACCCAGTTATATCTAAATTGGAAAAGTCTATTGATTGTTTAAAGTAGCATGTTTATTAATATTTCAGACATTTAAATATCTAGTAAGTAAAATATTCTTTAGTGGAATCAATCCTCGAAATCAAACATTTTTACGACTTTTCTCACACATGGCAAGATGGGAGAAATCAATAAAGGCAGTCTAATAATTTTTTTATTAAGTTTGAATTTTATTTTAAATACTTATAATCAATTTGAAAAGAAGGTCTTACACAAATCATATATATATATATTTGCAAAAAGTACAGTAGATGAGAAATGACTTCTACAGTTTAGTTGGCAGCGTTATTTTTAACATAAAATGTGGTAAACCGTATTAAAACGTAACGAACACAAGTATTGTGTAGTTAAAGTAACTTAGTAATCTTAAATCAAAGTTAGCATGATGTTTAAAACAGTATTACTTTGAAATAGCTGTTAGCAACGCGGTACTTATTTTGTTTTTTCATACTTCATCTTCCAAGTGTTTATCAGTAAGATAAGAACGCCACACAGTACTCGTTAACTTGTTAATAGTAGGAACTTATTACATATGATTCTACAATATCTCATAGTATGACAGGGATACCACACAGTGTCCGTTAAATTGTTAACCGTAAAAATAACTTATCACATAAGATTCTACAATATCTAATAGTACGACAAGGACATCACAGAGTGTTCGTTAACTTGGTAATATTAAAAACTTAGTAAATAAGATTCTACAATATCTAATAGTACGACAAGGACATCACACAGTGTTCGTTAACTTGTTAATAGTAGGAACTTATTACATATGATTCTACAATATCTCATAGTATGACAGGGATACCACACAGTGTCCGTTAAATTGTTAACCGTAAAAATAACTTATTACATATGATTCTACAATATCTCATAGTATGACAGGGATACCACACAGTGTCCGTTAAATTGTTAACCGTAAAAATAACTTATTACATATGATTCTACAATATCTCATAGTATGACAGGGATACCACACAGTGTCCGTTAAATTGTTAACCG